CTAGATATGCCCCAGATTGGACTCAGCTCTTCCCAGGGGCCCACTTGGTAATAAGGGGCAGTTGTCAGGAACACAAATCTCTCGTTGCACTCTGGGGAAGTGTGGGGGTTGGGATAAGTGCTCCTCCTGGGTGGGAGCATCGAAGGAAGCCGCGTCTGGCTGGATGTTTATCCTGATGAGGTGCTTATGTAACACCAGGCTTCCTCCGGCTCCCAGGGACTGAAGAGCGCACACGCCAAGGAAACAAACAAATGGAGATGCGAACCACTTGTGCCATTAGACAACTGAAGGGAAGAGGTGTACACATCTGACGTCCTCAGCAAAAATTTAGCACCAGGGCAATTTCCAAACCACTTTTTACGAAGAAAAAAATGTCTCTTTTATATTCCAAGTGCAAAAACTCACCAATGGCTTCCATGTCCCTGAATCTCAGATGCTGCACTGATGGCCATTTGCCAGGGCTGCAAAGGGTAAATGGGGTTCCTGGAGGTTCTACCCACACCACCTCCCTGCCAAGGGGCTGGTGCCACCTCCTCAGCAGCTCCCTCCTCACCCAGTGGGATCAGCCTGAGGTCAGCGAGGGGAGAAAAAAAGGGAACGCAGTCCCAGGTCTGAACCAGGAGTCCTGGTCTTGAGGTCTGGTCACTAAATGGCTGTGTGACCTTGGGCAATTGGCTTATCCATTTGGAGCCTCAGTTTCACATCTGCACAATGAAGAGAACAATCAGTTCTGACCCGCCTAACTCACTGGCTTGTTTTGAATACCTGTACCCTGCACAGGTTGTGTAGGGGATCACAACCACATTGTGACACTGCCTGTCATCCAAGCTGGGTCACAGCTGAGCCCCAGGTACAGGTGAGTAACACGGCGTCCCCTGCCTGCTCTAGCCAACCTTCTTTTCCTCCTGCTCCAGAGCTGAGCCCTGTTCCCGCCTCACCTTCCGTAACACTCATGACAGTGTCCAGCTGAATTCTAAGTCTGAGGTTCCAAGGGGCTCTTGGAAACAGCAGATGGGGATGGAAAGTGGCCTGCACACTGCTGAACAGTGGATGGTTTAGGGTAAGAAGTCTTAGAATCCTGGAATGGATCTAAACGGAAAATCACTTTACTCACTTCCTAAACATGTGCTAAAGACCTACCACACACCGGCATTGTGCTAGACATTGAGGATGCAACAGTGAATGATACACAGTCCCTGTCCTTTCAGAGTTTGCTGTCTAGCAAGTATTCCAGATTAATGCCCATTTACCACCATTTTATAGATGAAAAAATAAGGCTGCCCAGAAGGGAAAGTGACTATCCTGGCCACCTGGCTGGTTCGTGGCTTTAGCAGGATCAAACATCTGCATTGTGAAGATGAAACGAGTGAACGCACACCCAGGGCTCAGAGCTGTGCCTGGACCCACCCAGTGAGTGTTCTCTACGTGTTTCCATTGTTCTCTATGTATTTCCATGACATCTCCAGACTCCAGGAGCATTTCCGTGATGCCACAAGACCCCTCGTTGCCCTGAGCTCCAGCCTCACTCTTACCATGAGGTTGGGCATTTGAGATGAGCCCAGCCCACCCCCAGGATGAGACTGACAAAGGCAGGACAGGGATGACAGTGGGTCCTGACGCCCTTGACCCTGGCTCTTATGGGAGCAACCTGGGCATTTTGTTCTTTCATTCAATCAATGCTTATGGAGAGCTTGTCCCATGCCAGGCACTGGGGCTACATTGCTGAATGGCACCAACAAGGCCCCGGCCCTCAAGGAATTTCTGTATTAGTGGGGAAAGGGATTGGATAATCAACTATAAATAAACAAATGAACCAGATATTTTCAGAATGAGACAAGAGCTGTCCAAGTCACATTCAGGGTGACTGACTAGAGAGTAACAGGGTGGTTGTTTGAAGGTAGGGGGGGCAAGGTGGGGGACAGGCTTTGTGCATTTCTGGAAGTCGCCCTGCCAAATGAGCATGGTTCTGGAGAGACTCTGCCCAGCACCAACACACCAGTCTCCCAAGCTCAGCATTCCAAATAAAGGTAATCAATACTGAGACAGTCTCTACCCTTCCCAGCCCCTGGCCCACAGCTAGAAGTCATGCATCTAGTATAGGCTACCTCAGTTTTCACCAGTATCCCTTTGGAGGGCTCCATGACCTCCTTTCATCAAAATGTGGAATCACGAGTAAAAGAAATAGAGAAAGACCAGGACTGTTCCTCTGATGCTCCTCGGGCCTGAGTTCTCCAATCTCAGGAAATGAGGGAACATAGCCTGCTGGGAAGATGGTGGGGATGGACTCCAGGCTGATTCCCAGAACGTCAGGGTGAAACTTCCAGAACTGAGAAGCCACAGAAAATATTTTATTCCAGGGCAATGGCAACGGCTGGGGAACTACAACAGCCTCCCCATTCCATGAGCAGGGGAAGAGCCAAGACACAGTTTCCAAGGCACTTCAGGGCCCAACTTAACAAAGCCAGGAGCCTGCCTAGGACACCAGTCAAGCAGAGATAAAAAGGGGGCTTCAGGGACTGAGTTTCTGTGTATGGGTGCCTGCTGAGTCTGTCTCTTCAGAAGTGCATCAGAAGCACCTTTAGAAGCGACATTTGACTCAGAATGAAGTGTCCTCCTTCCTCTGGGACTGTTCCCCACCACCCTAAACCCTGGGCAGGCATCTCAGGTGAAAATCGGGAAGAAAGGAGGCTTTCCTGACCAGGTATTACCCACTGTGTGCGTTTGGGGGCAGGGGAGGGCACGCAGACTCCATCCAGAGAGTACCTGGTGCCACCAAGCCAGTGCTGGGGTTGCCAGGCCCCAGGTTCCCACTTATCTCTGGGGATTGGTGGTCCGCGGTGCCTCCCCTGCCAGTCCTTATCCTTGAGCCCCTGATCCTCAGAGCTCCCTTTTGTTCACCAACCCACTGACTCGGCAGACCCCGAGAGACCATTTTTCTTCCGGATAGCCACTTCCTGGTTTCTCAGCAGATCAGTCCTGCTGCTCTTCTCTGGCTCAGCTGTTGTAGTGGCTGCAGATTTCTTAGTAATGATCTTCCTCCAGGAGCAGGGGAGACAGAGGCTGCCGCTTCCACTGCAGCGCCTCTGTCTCGGCTGCCAACATCAAAGCTTTCCTTGTGGCTTTGGTAGAATGTTGAGAATTGCGAGATAATTAAGTTGCATTTCTGTGCATTGTTTACTGTTGCTCTCAACCAATCACTATTCCATAGGGGCTAATCTGTGTAGGGTTTGCTTTTTTGTTGTTGTTGTTGTTGTTTTTTTTTTTTCTTTGCAGTGCTTGTTTGTACCACATTCTTCATTATGCTTCAGTTACAATTTTAATTTTACTATTATTAAATCTTCCCCAAAGCTGTATTATTCTGCGCCTCTGAGCTGGAATTCCTGATTTGGGGACTGTTTGCATCTGGGCCTGTTCACAAATGATTGTTCTTGTTTACAAAAGAATATACATTAAAACTCAACACTAGAGGAATCCCTGCTCCCTTCCCTCCTCGCTGTCCCCGCTGGCTCACCTGCTCTTAGTTGGTAGCGGAGAGGGGAGAGGGGAGAGGGGAAGCAGGAACCATCTGGTACTTTCTGAGATTATGCTGTTGAAAGAACATCTTCATGGCCTCCAATGGTCAAACCAGCCTCCAGTGGCCAAAGAAGTCGAGTGCAGGGTCCGGCCAGTGAGCTGGAGGCTGTTTTCAAGGCCTGCCCGATCCCAATAGGATACCTCCATGTTTATTCCAGCAATGGTTAGGAGTACGGGCTTCGCAATCAAACAAATCTGGATTTGAAATCCAACTTCTTCACTTACTAAGAATCTGACATTGGGCAGTTAGTAACTTCCCTCAACCTCAGTTTTCCCGCTGTAAAAATGAAGAAGCAGCAGCTGATTATCCTGCCCACAGGTAAGGATGAAAAGGGATGACATTTTAGAATAGTACCTGCCATATGGCAAGGACTTAGTAAAGGGTAGGTAAATTTAGGTTGCCGTTTTCATCATCATTCTCTCTCTAGCATTCTGTCTCCTGTCTCTTTTGCTTCCATTTTGCTGCCCCTCTGAAGCTTGTCTGCTCACTTAGGCTTTGCATGAGAGCTTGGAGGCTCAGGCCTGCCTCTGGTCTCATCACTAAGCCAGTGGTGTGGAGTAGGAAGCACTTTCAGTGACTGTTAATGGCAGGGATTTGTTAACCTGCTTCCCAAGAAGGAAAAGTGGCAGGCTTCAGGGCACCTGAGCTTGCAGAAAGAATTCAGCCCTGCCGCAGTTGAAGATGGCCATCCCTGGGGTTTTAGGACCCCAGAGCCAGCTGCCAGCCCCCTACTGCCTTATTGTCAGGCCCCAACCCTGGTAGAACCAGTGCAGCCAGTCACCAAAGCTTTTTCCTGCCACTCCCACCCCAGCACCCCTGCAACCTCAGCTTCCACTCCCACCCCAGCACCCCTGCAACCTCAGCTTCCACTCCCACCCCAGCACCCCTGCAACCTCAGCTTCCACTCCCACCCCAGCACCCCTGCAACCTCAGCTTCCACTCCCACCCCAGCACCCCTGCAACCTCAGCTTCCTTGTAGACTTTCCTTAGCTTCTTTCTTCCTGTCACCCTGTCCCCTCAAGCACCACACACATACTAAAACCATAACTTTTTCCCCCTCTTTCCCATTATCTCTAACCCATATACTCCGGGAAGTTTAATTTGTTCTCGGTAGTAATCACCATTAACTAGAAATTGTCTTTCTCTGTGTAAACACGTCATTAGTGAAGCTGGTTTTCTGCAGGGTCCAGATTTCATTTTTATTAAAATGAAACACTTTCAGGCGCCTCACTGTGTCCAAGGAAAGAGAGTATAATTTTAACCCATTGGGTTGGCCACAGATAATTGGGCTGGCATTTGATTGGACGATTAGGGAAATATCTTCTTTGCATGCAGTATAATTTGCATTTTTTTCCCACTTATATGAAGCTAAGTCATGCTTTCGTACACAGGCAGTTTTAATGAGCATTATAAATCCTAATGAATATATTTTCATGTTCATTTTATTGGCTTGTTTTTATTACTAGAGGTCTGAAAAACAGGGCCAGAGAGGGAGCTGCAGAGGAAATGGCAGGGGAGAGAAGCACTGTGGCCCTCCTGCCCCCTCCCCTGCTGCTGCCCTGGCTGCCAGAGGGTGGATGACTGGCAGGGTGGGGTCACCCAAGTCCTCTTTAACCCAAACCAGAAGTTGCTGTGGGTCCTCTGGGGATGCAGAGAACATGTCTTTTGCCTTGGGGCCAGAGGAGCTCCTGCTGCAGCCTCAGTCTCAGCTCCAACAGTGACAGAAGCCGTGAAAACAGCAAACCCTAGTTCATCGTGGTCTGCCATGGAAGAGGGAGTGAAGTATTTCTGCATAGTGTCGGACATGTACTAGGATCTCAATGCAGGTTAATCAAATGGAATCTGATTGAATTCTTCTTCACGAGGAGCCAGCCACCAAATCCAGAGTATTCATTCTCGATCATGACACTGAAAGGCAATTAACAAGTGTACAGAGCATGAATTTTTCCTGGATGATTCAGGAGGTTCTTCAAAATCCAGGGTCTTTACACATCATTGTGAGTATCAGTTCTAGGTCCCAGAGTTTTGCTTATCTTTAAAATGAGAGAATACATTCATTCATGCACTCATTCATTCATTCACTCACTCATTTAAGACGCATGTTGGATACCCACTGTGTTCTAGACACTGAGCCAGGACATGTATAAGGTAATCCCTGAGATTTCTGCCAGCTCTGACAATTTTTTTTTTTATTCTGTAATAAGTGACCAATAAAGTGAGATTTGTGTTCCAGCTTGTGGCTCTGGTTCTAAAATCACTCCCTGAGTGATTTTAGACTTGGGTCTCTTTCCATTAGTCACCCTAAGTACCTCAGTTGTACCCTGGCCCCCCTGCATATCAGCAGTCCCAGGCATCTACACCAATGAGGCCTTTTGTCCCTGCTCCCCACACTGAGGCTGACCTGTGGACTTCTGCGTGGCCCTTTACCTTTGCCTTCAGCTGAAGGGCATCCTTGGCATGTCTTCCTTTGGGATCCTGGGAATGGCCCACCTGTCTTGGCTTTGAAGGCCTGGTCCACACTGGGCCGTGGACTCTGCTATGGGCAGGCTGGCAGGGGGTCTGCTATGGCTCACACGTTGTCTGCTGACTGACCTACTGTGCCTCACCACACACCCTGTTTTCTGTTGACTGTCCCAACCCCATCCTAACTCTCCCATCCCACCCCCATTCTTTTTTTTTTAATTCTTTATTTTTATTTTTTTACTTTTATTATTTATTTATTTTTTTGAGACGGAGTCTTGCTCTGTCGCCTGGGCCGGAGTGCAGTGGTGCAATCTCGGCTCACTGCAAGCTCTGCCTCCCAGGTTCACGCCATTCTCCTGCCTCAGCCTCCCGAGTAGTTGGGACTACAGGCAGCCACCACCATGCCTGGCTAATTTTTCTGTATTTTCAATAGAGAAGGGGTCTCAATCTCCTGACCTCGTGATCCACCCGCCTCGGCCTCCGAAAGTGCTGGGATTACAGGCGTGAGCCACTGCACCCAGCCTAATTCTTTTTTTAAAAAAAAGAGACAGGGCTCTGCTCTGTTGCCCAATCTGGAGCACAGTGGCACAATCACAGCTCATTATACCCTCCAGCTTCTGGGCTCAAGTGATCCTCCTGCCTCAGCCTCCCTGACAAGGACTACAAGCACATCACCATGCCCGGCTAGTTTTTCTTTGTTTGTTTTTTCTAGAGATGGGGTCTTGCTATGTTGCTCAGGCTGGTCTTGAATTCCTGGCCTCAAGTGATCCTCCAGCCTCAGCCTCCCAAAATGCTGGGATTATAGGTGTGAATCATCATGCCTGGCCCAATTTTTGTTTTATGGGTTTTGTTTGTTTGTTTGTTTGTTTGTTTTGTGAGACGAAGTCTCACTCTGTCACCCAGGCTGGAGTGCCGTGGCACAATCTCAGCTCACTGCAAGCTCCACCTCCCAGGTTCAAGCGATGCTCCTGCCTCAGCCTCCTAAGTATCTCCTAATGATCCTCCAGCCTCAGCCTCCTAATATCTTCTTTGTATGCTGTATAATTTGCATCTTTTCCCCACTTATATGAAGCTAAGTCAGGCTTCTACAGGCACATGCCACCACATCCAGCTAATTTTTGTATTTTTAGTAGAGATGGAGTTTCACCATGTTGGCCAGGATGGTCTCGATCTCCTGACCTCGTGATCCGCCCATCTCAGCCTCCCAAAGTGCTGGGATTACAGGCGTGAGCCACCGTGCCCAGCCTGTTTTATGTTTTTTTAAATTGGAAAGGTGTTTGATGCTCACATAGGTTGGGAGTTTTGAGGATAGTTCAGAAGTTAATTCAAGTAAAGACGAGTTCAGTTGCCTTTGCCACCATCTCTTCAAAATGGCAGCTCAGTGCTTGGGGGTAACATCTCCCCAGTAGCTGCAGGTTTTCATCAGTTGCATGTGGTAGGTCAGTCCCGTTTTCCTTTAAGACTATATCTTCTGCCACCCCCACCCTTCCATGCACACACACACACACACACACACACACACACACGGCTGAGGACGTCTCACTGTGGCCTTCAGGACAACTTTACGTTTTCCTACTGTACAAGAGATGTTTACTGAACAAACACCACATGCTAGATTCTGTGAGAAACAGGAGAAACTAGCAAAGAGGCCTTATGGAGAAGTGGGAAGGAAGCTGGCCCACAGTGGAAGGCCTTGGTGAATTTCTGACTTTGCTACTTTCTGCTTTGTAGCCTCGAGTAAGCATTTCGCCTTCCTGGGCCACTTTTTCCCCATCTATAAAATGATAATAATAATTACCTATGGCACAGTAGGTGATAGGGATTTAAAGGAGATACTGATTGTGGTAATGACCTGGAAACTGTAAATACTGGTCATTTCTCAGGTGGAATGTGACCAAGTTCCAAGGCGATTTGGATCGTGGGTCCTGGGTTATAGCCTGTGTCTTGTCTTGGAAGGGCTGGAGAGGGGGTAAAGGGATGTTTGCTGTCAGGATGGGATGTTGCTGCCTCCTGGAGTCAGATATTTATGTTATCTGTCTTTTCTAAAGAGGAGAAACAGAGAAAGGGCTCTGGCTGGAGTTCACCACTGGGATGATTTCATAGATCTGGTTTCAGCCTCACCACCACAGAAGACCATGATCGCAAAGTGAGTGTCTGCACTTTGCCTTAAGAAATGAGCTCAAGTTGAGGCAATGTGCAATTCAGGCTGCCCTGCGGCTAAGCACTGATCTTTCTCTGTTGCATGTGGTAGATCAGCCCTGTCTTCCTCTGAGACTGCAAACTTCTGGACAGGGGTCCTTGTGGAGACTTCTTCCTCATGCTCCCACCACACTCACAGTGGTAGGCTCAGGGTTGGTCGTTTGTTCAAGAACTGCCTTTCCGTGACCTCACTGGCCAGAAGCAGGAGCACCAGTGATACTCTCAGCAGGGCATCTCACCCCCAAGTCAAGGCTAAGTGTCTGCAACTGACCAGCTGGTCTTGCTCAGAAGGGAGAGCATGGCCAGAGGGAGCAGAGCATCATCTCCAATGCCGCTCTTTCCAGTCTGCAAACATAATGGAATTAACTGGCCTGAGACACCAAATTTTTGTCAAAAAGGTGGTGTAAGTGCAAAAGTAATCTGCTGGCCCGTTGCAGAGCCAGGTCTTAAATTACAGAGTGTAATGGTGTTGGCACATTCCGAACTGTTCCCAGAGTCCCTTGGCATCCCTGGAGCCACGGCTTCACAGAGAGCAACTTCCCAACAGCCCAGGAGGGCGCGGGGAGACGCAGAGCAGCCCTCCAGTCCCCTGCAACCAACTATTTTAGGGCAGCTGGAGGGGAAGAGCACTAAGAAGGGTGTCAATTCATGACGAGCCATAGTGGGGCTCTGGAGGGGAGAAGTGGGCCCACCTGCTCACAAGACGCCTTTGGTGTCAGATCCAGCTCTAGATGAGGAAGGGCTGAAGAGTAGGGGCCAGACAGTGGCGCAGTGGAGGCGGCGTCGGGTTCTTTCAGCAGCTGCGTCTCCCCTTGGGCCGGAAGGAGTGATGACTCTGGAGAGGTGGAGATGAGGGTCAGAACAGACCATGAGGAATGAAAGGAAGCTTGTGTTCTGGCAGCCACGGGTGAGGATGGAGGACTGGTCAGGCACTCAGGGAGGGTAGTGCTATCTCATCTCTCTGACTGAGGGGGTGTTTGCTTAGCGTCCCATTGCAGATTAGCCCACCTGAGTCTAGAAGTGCCACATCACGGTGGGAGGCAGGCTGGTGTGTTTGTGCTAGGCCACTCAGGGAGCTTGAGGCATTGTGGGATGGCAGGAGATGCCTCCCAGAAACAGACTGTAATACCCACTCCACCTTTGCCCTGCTCCCCCAAGCAGCCCTCCCACCCTTCCTCCCTCCTTCTCCTTTCTGATGCAATCCTCTCTCTGCCCCACAGGCTTTGTCCTGGGAGGGGCTCGGAGCTCGCTGGGGGAGGGAGGTGATCTTATCCTTTCTTTCCACTCATTCTGGGCACCTCATCACCTCTCTTTTTTCTTTCTCTAACTTTCTGCCTCTCCTTACCTCTCTGTTTCCCTCTCCCACGCGTACCCTCCTGCTCCCCGACTCACACACCCTCCTTTTCCTCCTACGTGTTCCTCTTTCTGTTTCTATGATCTGTTTCCTGGTGCTCCTTTTGTTCAGTCATCAGTGCCCTGCCGCCCTCCCTGAGGTTGTGTCAGGAGTGATGCTGGTTAAATGCTGCTGTCTGCACTGGGCAGGCTCTGTAGTGTGTGCTGAATTGCTGCAGGGAGGGCCAAGAGCACAGCACAGAGGGCCAGAACCAGTGGTGTGGCACTTCTAGACTCAGCTGGGTGCCAACCTCAGCTCTAGCATGCCCTGATTGTGTGACTGGGGAACAATTCCTATTTTTCCTTGGGCCTCAGTTTCCCCAGAAATGCAATGGGGAGGACATTGCCCTACCCTTCAAGGACGTGCCTTGGTTCATAAAGGAGACCTCCTCTCTCTAGAGCCAACGTCCCCTACTCCACCCCACCCCACCCCCATCCTACCCCACCCCCATCCTGCCAGGGCAGGCTCAGCCGCTCCCTTCCCGTCCATAGCAGTAGGGGAGGCCGCATGAGGAGGAGCGGGGTGGGAGCTAATGGAGGGGATCTGCTGGCGGGTCTAGTTTAGGCAAACAGCAGGGACTGCTGGCGACGGCTCCAGCCCCCACTCCCGCGGTAACAGCTGCAGTCCAGCTGCTGGCATCCCTGCTGGGGGAGCGTGCTAAACCTCTCCGGGGTCAGCTCTGTGGTATGTCGGTTTCCATAGCAACCAGCCAACGGGCCACTTTCTCAGAACAATTCCCCTACTCAGCCGGGTTCTGGACTTAGCTCAGCCCAAGGGCATGTGGCTGAGGAGCAGAGCGGGAGGGGGAGAGCTGCCGAGGGCCAGACTGGGCCCCACAGAACGTGGCTATCTCAGTCCGGTCTTCGCACGGAGGGCGTGGAGCCGAGGACGAGCCATGCAGACTCTTCCGGCGCTGGCTCTCCCTGGCCTCTCTCTGTGCCACGCCGACTCCACCGCCCTTCCACAGACTGCCCAGCTCGGCCCGGTTGGAAGAAGTGTCAGGTCTTTGTCTGATTCTGGAGAACAGCTGCATTGGCTGGGTTCAGGGCTGGGAGGACAAAGTCCTGGAATGGCGTATAAGGGGGTGCCGGGAGGGGCTTTTCCTGGCTTCCTTCTCTACACCCTTCCATCCAGCTCTTGCAGGACCATGGGAATCCCAGTGATCCCAGGGGATAGGGGGCTAATCAGTCCTCCCCCACATTTAGAGGGTGGGAGAGGATCACCTTTCTCAAGCCCCTACCGGAGTTAACTCCCTGAATGTGAGCAGGTTGGTGCCATCCCTGACACTGTTAGGAAAAGGGTAGAGGTGAAGATCCATTCTGGGCGCTACAAGGGACCTCGATCCACTTTGTGGATAAGGAACCGGGACCCAGTGGAAAATGGATTGCCTGGGGGCCAGGGTGGGTAGGGGGCAGACAGCAGCTGCTTCCCAACCCCTCTCCTCTCCTGGGCTGAGCTCAGCATATGCCCCCAGGAAACTGGATGGTGCTAGAGCTCCTTCCCCAGATCCCTTGGAATGCAGCTCAGGCTATCATGGGCCTGGGGTCCTGGGGAGTTTGTCACTGGAAGGGATTTCATTTTCAGAAAGGAGCCATTTGCAAATTGGGAAACTGAGGTCAGGGATAGGGTCTCTTTAGGCCTAACAACTGCAGAATTCGATGTTGGGGCGGGGACTTGGCTTCCTGAGAGGTCATCTGGGTGGTCCCTGCTAAGACCTGGGAGGCATAAAGCGTTCTTGGGCGGGGTGGCGGGGGCGCTGCCCAGCTGTCTTGATCTTCTACTCTGTGAAATTATTCCTCCCTTTCAAGAGGCCTAGTTCTCCCTTCCCCACCCCCCACTCCATTTACCCCCATCCCCTGAAAAGGAGGAGACAGATGTCCTTTCTTCCACACATCACAGCTGCAGCCAGACACAATTTCTCTAAGCCCTGGGAACAGGTGTGGAGTAGTTCTAAGTCCCCTAGGGATGTGGGGGACTCAAGAAGGCGGCCAATTTTAGAAGCTGCATGGGTTCCCATCCTCCCCTGGCCCCATCTGTGAAATGGGAGGACTGCTCTAGGTAAGCACTTCCTGGAGTGGGCTCTGTGGGGGTAAAGAAAGTCCCAAAGCTAAGCAAGCTTGGGAAAGGATGTGTGAACACCTTGTCTTTAAACAGTTACAGGGCTTATGGCCGGGTGCGGTGACTTAAGCCTGTAATCCCAGCACTCTGGGAGGCCAAGGCGGGTGGATCACGAGGTCAGAAGATGGAGACCATCCTGGCTAACATGGTGAAACCCATCTCTACTAAATATACAAAAATTAGCCGGGCGTGGTGGCGGGCGCCTGTAATCCCAGCTACTTGGGAGGCTGAGGCAGGAGAATAGTGTGAACCCGGCAGATGGAGCTTGCAGTGAGCTGAGATCGTGCCACTGCACTCCAGCCTGGGTGACAGAGGGAGACTCTGTCTCAAAAAAAAAAAAAAAAAGGAAAAAAGAAACAAACAAAACAAACAAAAAAGAGAGTTACAGGGCTCGTTACAAGTTTAAAGACTTTAACCTAGGGCTTCCTAGGCTAAAGGATGCTCACGCCAATTCCTGCGACACACTTGACCCACTCCTCCTTCGGTGGATGCATCCTTGACACTGTTCTCTGCCCCACGGCCTCCGCTGCCACCTCACCCTACTGGCTGCTCAGTTGTGCTTGGGTCTTCTCCATCCCAGACCTTCAGAGAGCCCGAGCAGAGGCAGGGGCAGTGCAGGGCTGTCACCCGGGTTTCTGAAGGGACTAAGACCCTCAGCTCAGCCCCCACCCCAATGCTCCCCAGAGGGTTGAGGGTCATCTGTGGCTTTTCTGCTTCACAGGGTCAGGTAATGGCTCTAGAGCGAGGAGAGAAGAAAATTCTGGCCACCAAGGATCTCATCAGGACGATCCTGAAGTGGGAAGCTTACAGAGGAAAGGCGTCCCTCTCCTCCTCACCGTCTAAACTCTCAGAGAAGTCACACCTCACATTCCGCAACCCTCAAACTTCCCAAAGGCCCTGGGTGTGCATTCTGCCCGCCCTTCAGGAGACAGCTGTGGTGTGATGGAAAACGTGTCAGCCATGGAGGAAACCTGGCCCCCCCCAGATCCATAACTGGCCAGGTCTCTGCCCCGAGGCAGGTCACTTCACCCCTATGCACACTTACCAAATTTCTCGAAGCAAGGAATAGTTCCTTTCTCACTGGGTTCTCATCAGAGTTGAAGATAGGATAAATGTGACAACGGCTGGTATGGAAGAGTAGCTCAGAAAGCATGAGCAGAGAGGGATTCACCACCCCTCCCCAGCCAGAGGTAAGATTTCTCTGATTTTAGGAGGGAGAAAACTGAGGCTCAGACAAGTTAAGTCACTTGCCCAAGGTCACACAGCCGGTCACCCCCAGTCCTTTGCCGTTCCGCTTTGCATCATTTTCAGGAAGATGCCTCTGAGATGGGAGGCATCGCACTAACTTTTGGGGGCATTTAGCGAATGTGATGTCCTTGACTCTTGAACCGTTCATCCTCCCCACTAGTAAAATGCCTGAGAGACAGAGGCTGGAAGACAGCCCTGCTTTTTTGAAGGGGCGGGGTTATGGATGTGTGGAGGCAGGAAGCGGGTATTAATTCTTGTGAAAATAGCTTTAAAAAAAAAAGAGTAGGCTTCTGCACTAAGACAGTCTCATTTCAGTTTGCAAAGAGCTCCTCCTAGTAAGAAGGGAGAACATTTTCTCCTTACCTCCTGGTTCCTGGCCACACAGACCCTCGATAGGCCCTGCCACCATGTCCCTCTCACTCAATGTGTACAGCCACAGGATGCTGAGCTGCTGTCCTTCTGCCCTTTCCTTATAGCAGCAAAACCAATTCACATGCGAGGCCTGGAGATCAGGACAGGACTCATGGCTTCCTCCCTACTTCCCACCTAGGTTCTAAAGTCATTTTATTTAGCACAAGGAAATGAGGAAAGAACAGGGGAAAATGAGGAGAAAGAACAAGCGGGCCTATCGTGTGCTCCACATTGTGCTAGGGCCTTAGGAATGTGCCTTCGGCGAACACTGTATCTCCCTTTTGATTTTTCTGTGGGTGAGACGGAGGCTGTTTAGAGGCCATGGGAGGGAGGGGTTTTGTCCCTGCTGATTGCTCTCACCACGTCTGTTTCCATCACCAGCCAAAGCATGGACCCTGATCGGTATCTCCATTTGGCTAACTCACCTTCTCTTCTGCTATCTCCTTTCCTCCCTCCATCATTTGAAAATGTCACAACCTGTGAGGTTGGGAAGCATAGGTAGATGTTTGGTCAAGCTGGAACAACAGTTCTACCAAACTCCTCCCCCTGTGCTCGTGTGTGTTCCTGTACTCACGTGGCTTTAAGTCCTGTCCTGGGATAGTGCTCGTATCTGGAGTGAATGGAAGGGTCAGGAAGGACATGCTTGTCCTGGAGACTTGTAGGAGAGGAGCTATTATTGCAGCTGCTCCTCCTGAGCTCAGTCAGGTTTCCCCCTGCCTGGCTGGGCCGTCTCTTTCCTTGCCCTTTCAGTAAGAGGCTGTGGAATTATGTGAGGGAGAGGAAGAAGCTACTGCTTAGAGGGATTCTGCTCTCCAGGCCTTAAGTTGGGGCGCTTTCTAGCTCTGCTCTTCTCATTTAAAGGGATGGCCTGGCTCCAGCGGGTACCTGTAAGTAAAAACAACAAACAACCCCAAACATCTCCTAGCGCCAGACTGACAGCTCAGATTTCTACCACAGGCGAGGTTTCCTGCTCAGCTTTCTGATGCAGGAAGCCTGTGTGTGTGTGTATATGCACGTGTGTATGTGCACGTGTTGTGCATGTGTGCGCATGTGTGTGTGCATGTGTGTGTGTGTTTTCTCTGCTGATTTACAGGCTCCTTTTGGATTGGTAGATCTGTGAGGAAGAGTAGGACTGGAGTCAGGGAATTGGCTTCGATCAGAGGCCTGATGAGAACAAGGTGCTCATCAACACTATTTAGGAAGGTGTTTTGTACAGGAATTTGTGGCAAGTGATGGGAGGGTGGTAGGGTCTGAGAAGAAGGGGGGAATAGTGCCACAGTATCTGACAACTTAAAACTCAAGGGGTCACAGAAATGTTGGGGCTTTGAGAAAACTTTACCAGTAACTCTCTGCTGAGGGTCTCTGGCCTGAGGTCACTGAGAATCTCAGAGGGAAAATAGGAGCAAGGACACAGCGGGCCCTCCTGGGAGCAGATGCGGTGCTTTGGCCCGCCTGCCCCTCCCTGCTCTCATCTCAGAAAACGGCAGCCCCCAATGCAGAGAGGCCACTCGGAAACCAGGGAGTGGGGTTAAAAGCATCTCTTAGCCCAATGTTCCCTTCTCCTCTCACAGGCAGTATTTTGGGAACCACGTGCTGTAGAAGCTGCATTATAACAGTGGAAA